GAGCTACGGCTTTGTTGTTGGATAAGATCAGCTAATTTTAGTTATGGCCACCATTCATAAAAATGGTTAAGTACTGAAAGACGTAAAATTAATATTATATAACAAAATTAAGAGGATGACCCGTTCTACACTATAATAGCTTACGATAACAGAAATTTACAAATTGTATTTATGCATAGACTAATTTTTAATACAATCCAGAAATAAATTACCACTTAATAATGTATTGATTACTATTTATTTAAATTCAATAGCTCTATCTAAAAATATATTTAATACTACTGCAATGTATTTCTGTAATGACTTTTAATGTGTAAATTTTATCGGGAAGTTAATCCTAAAAATTCTAGGCATAAAGTCTACGGCAATTACTGGTGCTTTTTTTTACAATGTCTAATTGTTGGTTGCCTAGAATAGTATGTATATACTATTACAATACTGCTTCAAATTTTTGTTAATAGATTATATGTTTCCTAACAACATAACGTAAGAACATTTAATTCCTTTTCTTGGCTAAAGTAAAGACGCGATATTGTAATACATTGTTAACGTTTTAGATTTCCAGTTAGATCATGTGCCTGCTATACAAAAACATCAAAACTATTTTATTTGTTTACTAATACTATGATTTGGAATTATTCCGGTAATAATACAGAAATATTAAAAAGAACAAAAACTATTGTTAACACTTGCACGACAGATATAATAGGCCTTTAAAGAATCAAATATAATATCCTATCAAGGAAAAGGATTCAAGGTTACAAGCTCAGTATACAAAATACAAACTTAATCATTTTATTTGCAGAAGCTCACAAAATGGTATTAATTTGAATAAAAGAAACAAATGATCGAATACGAAAATAGATATTTCATAACCTGTAAAAGATCCTAATTAAATGTACAGTACTATCTTTTTGCATCCCATAAACTACTATTTAAGTAAGAAGACCATAGACAAAACATACTCCCTTATACAGTACATTTCTTATCCTTATGGATCAGCTGAAGACAATTTTATTGTTAGTTCTGTCTGGTGCACTGTCTGTAGAGGTCGGGGGTTTTTTTTACAATTTGTTTCTTGTTTTCAGTAATTTAAAGCCTCGTTTAACCAAATAAAACGTTCTAATCACAAGTAATAACACATCCTCTAAATATACAACCAAACAGAAGAAGAATGTTTATACCTAGAAGTTTACGGAACGAAATTTTAAACAAAATTCACGAAGGCCATTTAGGTGCGGTGAAATGTCGTTCAAGAGCAAAAGAATCCGTCTGGTGGTTCGAGAGATGTGAAGTCTTAAGTAGAAAACTGTCTTGTGTGTCTCGAACACGGTCAAGTGAACAAAGAGCCTTTGATGCCCACAGAACTTCCAAAAGGTCCTTGGATTTATCTTTCCGCAGATCTATTTATGTGTAAGAGGAAGTGGTATTTGGTGGTTCAAGACTATTATTCAAGATTTATTGAGTTAGTTGAACTCAAGTGTTCTAACCTCCATTTTGGTTATAGGAAAGTTAAGGAACATTTTTGCAAGACATGGAATTCCATATAAGATTTGGACTGATGGTGAAACTCAATTCACATCACAAGAGTTCAAGGATTTTGCAAAAGAGTACGGGTTTGAAGCAACGACCACTAGTCTGTACTTTCCTCAGGCAAATGGAGGTGCTGAGAACGCAGTGTCAATAGCCAAAAGAATTTTGATGAAAAATAAAGATCCAAATCTAGGGATATTAGTTTACCTGACAACAAAGCTAGAATCGGGACTGTCTCCAGCAGAGTTGCTTTATGGGAGAAAATTGAGGTCAAATCTTCCATCATTGAAAGATTTTGAAAAAGTCAAGACGACAAACGCATAAAAGAGAGAATGAAGAGGAATTTTGACAGCAGGAGACGAGCAAGTGAACTAAAACCTCTGGAAGAAGGGGATAAAGTCTGGATTAGAGACCTGAAATGTAACGGAGAAATCTTATCAAAATCAGACATTTATCCCCGAGCATATTGGGTAACACTAAATAATGGAAGGCGGCTTAGAAGAAATCGATGGCATCTAACACTATTTCCATTAGAAGAAAGAGTAAATATTGAACAACCTAATACAATCCCTCAGGTACCTGATCAAATAACCCACGACCCTTCTCGAAGAAGTCAGAGACACTAAGCAGACCAAAACGATATGATTAAAAGAAGATGTGTGACAAAGAGAGATGTGGTGTTATTAATTAACCATATGTTTGATGTTTAAAAGATCAGATGAACTGTTTATTTATTATTAAAATTCCCATGTTATTCTTATGGAGAATATTGTCAAATGTTGTAGTTTGCTTGTTTATGGATATATTTTGATCAAACTTGGCAAATTTATTTATTTTTACTAAGCTATCAATATTTTACTCAAAAACAAACTTTATTAGTTTCCTTGTAGCAGCAAACCTAGGTACTCGTTAAACCTAATGTTATTAAAATATATTTAACTGAAAATCAATTGAGACAAATGGAAATTCGCTTAGTCGGCAGGTTTGCTGCGGCGGGGGTATTTTATTTTAAGTTTATCCTAATATAAGGTAAGATTAGATAGACAAAATATTTCCAGGGAGTTTTTATACTTCCAGTATAAAAGAAGAATTTGTTTATATTGTCAAGCATTTTCTCCATGGCCCACCCACTGCCTTTGCTTTCAAATGTTTTTTATTACCATTATTGTGTGTTGTATTTGACCCGGGCAATGCCTAATATTTTTCACTTTCTTATCACTATTAAAAATATTCTCTATACCTTTCTCTAAGCTGACATTTGGTTATGTATTATATCAAAACAGAATAACTAAACAATAAATACAAACAATAAAATACAAAGTTAAAAAGCAGTAAATTAGTAAAGCAGTAAAACAGTTTAAAAATTAGTTTCCAATGTTGTTCAGTTCATTAGAATAAACAAAATTATTTGTCCTCCAATGAGTTAGCAGACAAGGTTAAATTCGAGGCATTCGTAGCGACATAACTTTGAATTTTGTTTATGAAATACCATATTTTCCATGCCCAAATAAATAGCAAATAGCAAGAAATAGCAAAGGCCCAAAACAAATAGAGCCTTCTTGCTTTCCAAATTTGATTGGCCCACAAGCTGAATTTGATTTAATTATTTTATTTTAATCTTTTAGATGAGATATTTCTATATACTAGGAGAAACCCGTCCAAATCGACGGTTAGGGGCCTTTTCGTTTATATTGGCGTACGGCTTCATTGGCAACAAATAATGCAAATAACATAGCAAAGTGGCATTTCCAAAAAGCAAAGAATATACTGAAAATTGGCTGTTATGTAAATATTGACTTTTAAATGCATTGTTAATCAACGTATCTGATAAAGGTATTGTGTTATCTAGTTTAAAAGTAATATGGCCTTATTTCTGTCATTACAGTAGCTGCATAGTATTTACTCTTTGTGCCATTTTTACAGCCAAAATGTCATGTTATTTTCAATGATGCTACCAACCTAGTGGGCCAGATTCCGTAATATAGGCCACTGCAAATAATTTGTCAAAGATAGGTACCGGTACCATTCTAGGCAAGGTTTCTGTGTTTAAGGATGTTATTAGACATGATAAGAACTCAATGAACTTCTTCTACAGATAATTAATCTGTTGGAGAAATATAAGCCGAATTATAAATGCGAGTTTGGGCATTTTGTAACTGTATAAGTAAGTTACACAGTATTTTTAGGCTGCTGCTCATTCCACTTAAGAATATATTTTTTAGAGACAAATTAAATTGTTTTTGTTGCTGAGTAGCAATAGTTAACATGCAGAACCCTTTTTGTTAGTCCCATAACATTCAAAGGCTCTCTTAAAGTTGAAGTTCTTATTTGTATACATACCCTTATTATGTTTTTACTAAGCGGAATGAATACATCGAAGTAACCTCTCTGAAAAGTCTGCAGTAAATTGCAGTTTTCCAGTTTAATGACTTTTTAAATCATGCACATATTTCTACATAAATATTGTAAAATGTTTTATCCAGTTGCTGTACACTAATATTAATTTAACAAAATATGGACACGGCTCATATGGACAACGTGCCCTTCTGCACTTGTATTGTATTACACAATCAAAGACTTTTCCAATGATTGAAAACATCTATGACAATAATCTCATGAACCTATGATGATCCGTCTACAATAATATGATAAAATATAGGCAAAAGTGGTAATAAAGGCAGACACCAACCCTTACAATAGATATAAGATAGTTCAATAAGGAATAATTGTAAGAGTTACTATAAAATGATTGTCAACTGATTTTGTAATGGAACGTTATATTGCAAAACATGGCATGATACAGAAGAAAATCAATTTCAAAATCAGTAGCCTAAATAATAGTGTTGCAAATAGTTCTTTTGTACAATTCAATAACTCCCAATAAACGTGTGTTGTTTAAAATACAAAGCTGTTTAATTCAAAAGTATTATCCACATGATCAAAATGAAAACAAATCTGTGGAGGAATCTTTAAGGGCTTCTGGGGCAGAGCCCTAACGGGATTGCCTTCGTTTTTCTTTTGATAACTCATCTAGAGACCAAGACCTTTCTTTGGACACCTCTACCAAGTTTCTACGCCCAGCCGTTCTCTCAAATTAGTGGAGACAAAGTTTCCAATTAAATATTTGGATTCCTCCATGTTAATCTTATGGGAGAAAACCCATCTTTGATGGATGATCCTGCCCAAACTAATAAAGATTTCAAAAAATGAAAAACACTTTGCAAAACTACAGATCAGGGCCATTATTTTGACTTTTTAACCATTAAAACGGTCCAAAAATGAGGGAGGAGTTCTGTTCACAAAAATCGGCTTAGCATATTATATATATAGAATAGATTGAGACCAATTTGTTAAACATCAAGTGAACCAATCAAGAGCCCTTCTTGAGATTTAGGTTTTGAATTACCAGACACATTTGACTTAGTAAATCTGTTAGGCTAACATAGTATATTCCCAGGAATAAATACCTTGAGAAACTGTGCAGTGCTGCAATCACAAGGCAAATTGTTGTTTCCCAACTTCACCATTCTATTTGCAGCGTTCCGATCAAATGCATTTGACAACATGTATTTTGGTATCTGCAAAATATATTTAATTTTATGATAAATTGTTATATGATTACTATCAGTCCTTTGTTAGTTTTGTTTTTTACAATAATATGTTTTATAACAATAATCAATATCATAATTTATTCTAAAAAATAAACTATTCACACACTTTTAACAAAAAAAGTTCTATATTTCAGCATTAGCCTTCTTCAGGAACAAACAAACAAATAAAAGTGTTTTCCACTCTGTATATGATGGTTTAGGAAAAATTTAAAATTACCTAGCCGTTTGGCAATACTATGAAGAAAATATGTTGAAACCTTTTGGTAATTATCTTTTTACACACTTTTTATTTTGTATTATCACTCTGAATCTTGATTCTAAATACTTTTTTCTCAATCAATATTTTTGATTTTTGCTAAACCATCTGATACAGAGTGGTTAACGTTTGATCCTGAAGAAGGCTAATCCCGAAATATAGAACTTTTTTGTCAAAAGTGTGTGAATAGTGTATTTTGAGTAATGATTTAGCCGTTTGGCAATACTATGAAGAAACAATATCATAATTTGTGTTTGAAAACCCAAAGTTATATTGGATCACATGGGCATTCAGGGTTGGTCAAAAGAATTATTTGCAGATATTGTCACTAGAAGATACAAAAATATTTAAAAAAGGAAAAAATAAGATTATTAGTTATATAGGCCAGTAAAAATAGGTTTTTGCCCAGAAATAATTCTCGGAAAGCTGGAAATCGTTTTAATCCTTTTGTTTTACAAAGAAGTAAAAGGATTTGAAGTTTGTCCCATTTTTCCAGGTGAGCTTCTGACCTGGGACCACAAAAACCTTGAAATTTAGGGTTATTTTTTAGTTTTTCCTAAAACGTCAAAGAACCGCCCAGCCTACAGAAAAACACATAATAAAGGAATTGTAGAGCATATAATTCCGCATCCATTTAGTATATGGTGATGAATCTCGAACCAATATTAAGCTATTTATGGTAATTTAAATAAAGTAATTTTATTAAGAAATTATTATACATTGCATATTTAAAATTTAGATTTCTTCTAGAAGATGGATGTCAAGAACATTATCATTTACAAAGTAATTAAAACGAATTACAAATACCCTCGCCGCAGCAAACCTGCAGACTAAGTGATTTTCCATTTACCTGGCTGGATTTATACTCAAAATATTCCCTAAAAATTGTCAGATTTATTTCATAAACATGCAAATTACAACAGTTTATTTATTCTCCATAAGAATAACATGGGAATTTAAATTTAAAATTTTTTGAATTATCCCTGTAACTGTTGGGCATACAACAACGCCTTAATATACAAATAAATTGTTTATTTGTTTTAGCTCTACAAAATGGTTTGGAGAGAAATTATGAAATTTTGTGCTTTTAGAGTCAAAAATGGGAAAATCAATTTTTTTTACCCCATAAACCTCCGCTCCCATAGTACGATTATGTTGGTTCGTGAACTTATTCAAGTTTATCCCGTGTTTGAATTGAGTCTTCATTGGTTTCTCCATAGGATTCCACCGAAGGAGTAAATACATTGCAGCCAGTGTCAAGTTTGATGAAACAATATCCCTCACCTTGCAATAAGAACACTTTCTTGCAAATGAAGGTAATAAACGCAATCTCATAACCATGAATACTCAAAGATTGAAGCAAGCTGCTGAGGATGCAGGTACTACTATCGTCATGCAAGCCATCTAACTAGTTCAGCAGTCAGAACGTGTTATAATCGTGGCGGAAGATATTGACCTCCGTGTGCTCTTAACTGCATTTGTTCCCAAATCAGCCACTATATATACTTCACCTCTTGAAACCCGGGGAAAGGGAAGTCCAGCAATACGTTTCATTCCCCAGTGAAATTCAAATATTCTTCGACCTTTAAAAGCAATATCCTGTTTCTACATGCATTTGGTGGCTGAAATTGCTTACTGATTGGGGCTGGAAGTCATCTAAGCATGGGATACTTCCAAATACTAACAAATGTTGAAGCTGCACCACCAGACCTTCGTAACAATATCTCATGTAAGTGTGCCAAAGGGGCGTAAAAGTGGTTTCACTTATCGGAAGAACAGAGTCAAATGTAAGATGCATGTTTTTAAAGTTCTCTGTTCCAGCGCTGCGATTTGCATTTTGTAGAGCTTAAACAAATAAATAATTTATTTCTATATTGAAGCGTTGTTGTATGCCCAACAGTTACGGGGATAATTTAAAAATTATAAATTAAATTCCCATGTTATTCTTATGGAGAATAAATAAACTGTTGAAGTTTGCTTGTTTATGAATATATATTTAAACAAAATTTGGAAATGTTGTTTATTTAATACTAAGCTATCTACATTGCAATAAAAACACATCTCAATATCTTTCCTGTTGCAGCAAACCTAAGGACTCACTAAAATTAATGTTAATTAAATAGGAAATAAATCTGACAATTTTTAGGGAATATTTTAGTATAAATCCAGCCAGGTAAATGGAAAATCATTTAGTCTGCAGGTTTGCTACGGCGAGGGTATTTGTAGTTCGTTTTGATTACCTTGTAAATAATAATGTACTTGGAATCTATCTTCTAGAATAAATCTAAATTTAAAATATGCAATGTATAATAATTCCTAATAAAATAACTTTATTTGAATTACTATAAATTGCTTAATATTGGTTCGATATTCATCACCATATACTCAATGCATGCGGAATTTTATGCTCTACAATTCCTTTCTTATGTGTTTTTCTGTAGGCTGGACGGTTCTTTGACGTTTTAGTAAAAACTAAAAAATAACCCTAAATTTCAAGGTTTTTGTGGTCCCAGGTCAGAAGCTCACCTGGAAAAATGGGACAAACTTCAAATCATTTTACTTTTATACAAAACAAAAGGATTAAAACGATTTTCAGCTTTCCGAGAATTATTTCCAGGCACAGCCATTTTTTTAACCAATTTTACTGGCCTATTAATCATTTGATCAAGTATAACCATTGACTATGGTATAACTAACACATAATATTGAAATATAATCATTGATTTTCTTTGATCTTTTGTAATATCATTGTGTATTAAAACAGTTATGAACAAGATTTGTTATCAGCCAGTCGTTCAAAGATTGGCAGATTTAAGAAATCTTTGAACAGCTGTCATTTTTTACTCCATTGTCTGTTTGAGTTCGGGTTTGTAGTGTTGTATTTCACTAATGGAGACCTTTAATTTGATATCAAACTCGACCTATGCTGCTATTTAAGAATTTAGTCTGACTCCTCATGGGCTGTCCCTCTCTTAAGGGATAAAAAGTGATAGTAGCTTAAAAGAGTAGACATTAATGGCTATTATTGATATACCAAATCTCATTACTTGATCTATATTGGTAAAAATTATATTACACTGTTCCAGGACTTTTCAACCACACTAAATAAATTCCTATGTTATTATTATGGGGAATAAACTCTTGCAGTTTTATTGTTTATGGATATATTTTTTATATTTTGATCAAATTTTGCAAAATTACTTATTTCATACTAGGCTTTCAACATGTCAATAAAAATTAACTTTATTAACTTCCATGTAGCAGCAAACCTATGTCGTACTCATTAACGTTACTTTAGGGAATAAATCAGACAATTTTAAGGAAATACGAGGGGACATTTGCACAAACTGCACATTTTAATTGGGTTCAAAGCTTGATAGAGGCAAACGAATAATACAACTTTAATACAATTTTGTCTTTTGTTTACAATCTGACTTGTAAAACATTGAACTGAAGGACCAGCTGTTAAATTACAGTTCACATTTAAACTGTTATAAAAAAGTTGGTCAGAATCACTGATTCTTTGAAAGCGGACTCTAAAAATATATTAAACGCAAGGGGGGTGAAGCCCTTAAGGAAATTACCTTTTTAGTTACTTCTTTCGTCTTTCTGGTAGATCATAAGCTTTAAAACGACACCTCAATCATGATAATCGGTTAAGTAAGATGGGTGAAAAGGGAAGGTTACAGAGAAATATCTTAATGTATTACAGTATGTATAGATATTAGTGAGAATCCAACTAGACACATTGAAATTAGTCTGTATTTAGTCTGCAGGTTTGCTGAAGCAGGGGTATTTAAATTTTCAAATGTATTACCATATTTAGTTAGTCAGTTTATATTCCAAAATAGATAGAATCAATTATAAGACAGTAATTCTGAAATACAATATGTACAATGTGTGTTGTGATTCTTTTAAAATGTGTTACTTTACAGCCATGTGTATCTATCAACATGGGCATTGTTAAATATGTAAGAAATAAGTAAATTCAGAATCAAACACAATCATAAAAATCCATTTTTAATTCCAAATCCAAAGAAAAACAAACAACTGTAAACAAAGTATTTTAACCCTTCCCGGACGGGTGACGGATATATCCGCATAAGTCTCTGGTGATAAAGGACGGGTGACGGATATATCCGCATATCTTTTTTGATGCTCCGGACGGGAAGCGGTTATATCCGCCTTCTTTTCAGACAGACGGGCAGGTGCTTGAGCAGTAACCAGATGTTTCGCGGAACCAAGGCGCCACTATCCTGCTCTTTCCATGACTGCGCTCTCCCCCACACTCCCCCCTCTCTACCGCGCTAACCCCTCTCCTGCGCCTCACCCCCCCCCCACGCACCTACCACCACTCCTACGCTCCCCCCCTCTACGTTTTGCGCTCAACATTACGTTGTCTCTATATATTGTTTACATATTGTTCTTTATTTATTGCCTAACATTGTCATGGTCATATCTTCAAAGACGGGTGGCGGATATATCCGCTGCATTTCTACTCATCCGAGAACAGGTAGCGGATATATTCGCATGGTTAAAAACGATAAAAAAAATTATTTTGACAGTATGATGTGTTCCACTGTGTTTCTTTTATGTATACTTGTATAACAAAACACAAATATGAAAAATTTATTTTTATTTTTTCGTCTAATTTTTCCCGTCCTATGTCATGATTTCGCCCGTCCGGGAAGGGTTAACATGTGATTTCATACATTAAGCATGAAAATAAATCAAAATTTGCCTAAGTTTAATCAAAATATATCCATAAACAAGCAAACTACAACATTTTACAATATTCTCCATATAAAAATAACATAGTTTTTACATTTACAGTTTTTTTTTAAATTTTCTCCCTTACCAATAACCGTACAAAAACACCTTAAAATACTAAATTATTTGTTTTATAAGAGAAATTGGGAAATTTTTTGTTTTGGGGGTCAAAAATGAGAAAACCCATTTTTTTACCCTATATGGTTCGATCATGCTGGTTCGCAAACTCATTCAAGTTTATCCCGCTTTACACCTTTCAACCAATTTAATCAAAATCGGACAAAAATTACTCAAGTTATTACGTTCACGGACGTATAAATAAATATATACATAGATAAACATTTGAAAGAATGGTGTTTTTGGCGTCTGAGTAATAGCTACCTATGGTAATAGCTACTTCCCTATAGTGAAATTCGCTAAAACCAGGTAAAACCAGGTAAATGGAAATTCGCTTAGTCTGCAGGTTTGCCGCTGCAAGGATATTTTTTATATGCACCTAGTTTGGTTTTCATGAAGCTTTTTCATCAGACACCTGTTATATTTTGGTCTATATAATTAGTCATAGATCAGGTGTAAGTTAAGTGGTGTATTATTCTGGTGGATTGTATGGTTTAATTGCACCTAACTGGTACTCATAAGCATAATCAATCACTTGGAAATTAAATATACTGCTAGTGGCTTGCAGTTACATAAGTCCCTAAAAAGCTCAAGTAAAAACAAATTATTGTAAAATTTAAACAAACTCAGTATCAAATTATCCATGTGCCAGGATAGATATCCCAGTACAACATAGGTATCTTTTGGATGTAAAAAACAGATTGTTGTTTGTCTTTGTTTGCTTTTGTTGATGTCATTTTCAATAAATAATTTGAATGCCTCCATAGGTTTAACTCTGCTAAAGGCAGCAAACGTGTTTGAGAATAAATAGTGGCTTACTAAGGTAGCTTTGGTCTTTTGGTTAATAATGATAAAAAGGCTTCCCTGATTGAAATATTGGAAATTGTCTTTGACAAATATGAAAAGGCAAAAAAAGGTGTGTTGAGATAAGCTTAGTTCTTGGTCAAAACCGCTACATTAGCACCCCGACCCAGTTATTATTTCTATGTTTATGTTAATTTTGTAAAGGTTTAACAAAATTAGTGTAAAGTAAAGGCATCCCATTGACAGAACTTAACCCTAAATTTGTTTCTGATCAACATTAAAGAAACTACTATAAGCCTAGTGTAAGTATATGTGGTGGTAATCCACCTAAAGGTGCGATTGACTTTACATATTCTATATAAAATGAGCCTAATTAACGCCCGATTACTAAATATTTTGCGACTGGTTAGGGTTCCATTACCTAGTTATCGAAACCTATCACAACATGCATATTTTTGGTTAGTTTTAAGAAACGGAAATTTACTAAGGTTTTACTGTTATTAATAGGTGCTACCTTTACTACCATGCATGCTAGGCTATATTATTTTAACCTTTTTTTGCTTGAAACAACAGGCAGTACCTGTGAAAATCTCCTCTAAACAATATTGTTTTCCGCCTATTGGAACTTATCATAGTACTTAATGAACAAATACCCGTACGAACCTATTTCATCTTTATATCCAAATTGTTTTCTAGAGTGGAATTCCTTACGTAATTAATATATAGACTAGTGGCTTGTAGGGACATAAGTCCCTAAAGCGCTCAAATGTAAAACAAATTATTGTAAGTATTATCATTGACTATTAGATACAGAAGTTGTTGTATTAATAGTCAAAGGTATTATATTATCTATGGGTCAGAATAGATATCCCTATACATACACCATATATTTTGTGTAAAAGAATTTGTTGTTTGTCTTTGCTTGCTTTTGTTGACGTTATTTTTTATAAATAATTTGAATCACTTCAGAGGTTTAACTCTAAGGAGCAATATCATCGACAAATTAATCTTGAAACATAAGAACAAAAATAGCCGCATGAAAACAACCTTAGACAGACCAAAATACGTTTCTACTGAATTTGGCAGCTATCTAAACCATACATTAAGCAGAGAAATGTCTAAAAACCAAGTTATCGTTTCATTTAAAACTTCGAATAAACTTTCATCAGTATTAAAAGATAAGAAAACAAACCGTGCTGATCAAACAGAAAATTCAGGTGTATACAAACTGAATTGTGACGGTTGTCCAAGCTTTTATATTGGTCAGACTTCACACCCATTTAAAACCCGTTTTAAAGAACATCTCTCGAAACCATCTGTTAACCAACCTAACTCGGCATTTGCTGAACATTTGATTAATAACAACCATTACTACACAGATATCAACACCAATCTAGAAGTCCTACGATCCTATAAAGGAAGAGGAAGATTATTAGATACTATTGAGGAATATGAAATTTACAATGCCGGCAAAAAACACCCCCAATACATCCTAAATGATAAATCCTCATTTGAATCCAACATAGTTTATGAGACAATCTTAAACATCGACGAAATATTATCAACAGCTGATAACTCAAGGGGGAAGGTGGGGAGAGGAAGACACGGCGTCAGTCCTAACCCTGTATCCGCCGCCGTGTTGTAAATTAGTTGTGTGGCCATGCATTTTATCTTTTTTTTGTTTGTGTACGTGTTATGTGTTAAGTGTTTTCCAAGACTCATGACGACCTCCTAGGAGCGATTTTACGTCCAGCTTGACAATGATGCCATAGACATCGAAACCGGTCGCACAAATGACAGCTTAAGGATTACTTGGACAGAATTAAGGTAACTTAATTTCTTGTATACAACTTGTAGATATGTTTAAAACAAAGCAGAACTTCTCCATTTAATCTTGAATCGTTAATTATTTAGTCAATGTGGTTATTTCATGTTAAATATTCCTTCAACACAACAATGACCTTTAAATTAGAAAGTTTATTCAGTTATTCTAAGTTCAATTCTTTGATTTGAGCTAACTCCCATGATTCTACTACTTATTATACGCTTAAAATACACGAATTTGAAAGGTTTCACAGTAAAATAATTTATTTCAACTTTCTAATACGTAACTAAAAGTCATAACTATTATAGGTAACGTTATCCATGGTTTTATATAGTATGCAGTACCATAGATAAATCATACTCCCTAAGTAGATTTGTCATCCTTATGGAACAGCTGAAGCTAATTTTATTGTTTGTTCTGTACGTCCAACTGTAGAGGTTATGTTTTGTTTACAATTTTTTTCTTGTTATTTCAGTCATTTAAAACATAATTTAACTAAATAAAACGATTTAATCATAAACAAGAACTGGTCTCCTAGTTATATAACCAAATAGTAAAGCACAAATCATGAAAATAACCCTAAAATAATAGAAACAAAATTTTGTCTACCCCAGCGATCAGTGTGGACGTACATGAACTAGACACAAAAAACAAGCTTCAAAATTTACAATGGGATGAGGAGTCTACTTGTGTTGCTTAGTCTATGGCAGTACATTGCAGAATTGACTGGCAAATGAGAAATCCAAATGTAATATTGCTTACTGCCTTAATGATAAATCACGATCAGCTGTATTAAAGTAAACACAAATCAGCAGTAAATGGCTTTTAATGCTATTCTTATGGAGAACATTTGACGTTATATCTAATTTTGTGTTAACATTTTGGGAATTTCACTATTTTTCCCGCCGTCACGGGATCGTGACCTTTAATTTGAGCCCTCTCTCGTCGTTCTCCGACTTCCCAGTCGCCCACAATTTTGACGCAAAGCATTTTGGCTTACAAATTTAATATATAGATTTTAAAACATTTCCAATATTTTTATTTTTTTTTTATTCATATAAAAAATAAGTTAGGCTACTCACCATTTTAATCCTGTTATTTCGTAAACTCAAACGAAAGAAGCGGTCAATGAATGTAGTGCCTTCCAATTCTGTGATGGATTCAATACGGTTGTTATCTGCAACCAAATGCAGGATGTTCGCATAGCTGGGGTTGGTGGCTACATAGTCCAAGCTAGTTATCTGGATCACGACAATTGCATTTCATTACATAATCATTCTACTTTCATGCCTGTTTTCCTAGTTAATGACGACATGACACAAAAGTTATACAATAAGTTACCAGTAGGTTTGAAAAATATAGCCAATACAATGACATTTAAAAAGAATTTGTCAACATTTTTGAAATAATCACTAATTATTAATGAATTAATTAAACTATTTAATGAATATTTATTGAAAATACTTTTGAAATCAAAGTCGGCCTTTCACTTTTAACTAGAGAATGTAAGATTGACCAACTATGTATTTATAATAACTAGTGGTCGACCAGTGGTTGAAAACTCGACCAAAAACACGCATTGACCATTGGATACTGAAGTAGACAACCCATCTATTTGGACGAGCTGTCCTAATTTTTTTATTATAAAAACATTGTAATTGTACGAGCCATACAGAACGCGTGTCTAAAATTCTAATTTCTACCTTATTTTCTGTTGCTGACAAAGTGGATGGGTCATAACAGTTGCTGTAGCTCATAATATAATAAGCCATTACAAAAGTTTACTTGGTAAAAAACATTGTTTGTTCTACAGAAATTAGTAATTTAGATCAGCGCAATCTGTTGGTGGCTCACATCAACTACGACGAATTTAATTAAGACCGGTGACAACTTTAAAATGGGTATGGAATGTCTAATTGAAAGTCAAAGGTAGAGGCTTCTCTATTTTCAACCCACACTGTAAAAACATGTGATTTGAATTTCAATTCTTTCATTTGTTTTGATTTTCTGTTTATATTTCGTTGTTATTTCGTCACCAGCATGGCAACCCATAAAGCCCATGTTAATTTTTTAAATTTCAAATTCATTTTTTGTGCTTATTTTTGAGCCTATTTTAATTTGGAAAGGGATTCTGCACATCTACAGGAAAATATCTTTCTAACAGTATGCTTAGATATTCCCTGCGATGCACACGAGCTGAGAAAAAAGGTTTTAAAGAAACATGCTTGCCTATTAATATATAGATAGAAAGATTTGACAATGTCACCTGTATGTACAAACGTTCTTGTTGACAATAAAGTTTCGTTTTATTTTATTTGATTTGACACATCAATTATGCCAAGAAAAATTTGACCCAAATTTCCAAGGGTCAAAATTACAATTGTTTCCATACTTAGTTTTGTATCTTGTATCAGCATCATAAGTAATATGTTTAATATGAATTGAATGTTAAATTTATATTTTAAAAAAAAATCTGTCAGGCAGTAATGGAAAACCACTTAAAGTAAAGGAATAATCCTAAAACATACATTATTGTTGCTGATGTCAAGGAAGTATGTGTTAGGAGGTAGTTCCTTCGGTAATTCAGTCAACCCTTGTCCAGAACAATCCACTTCTACCATGTAGTAGAAATGGAAAGGCATTTCTACATTTCGCGTCACTTTACAGACACACTGAAAGTCTGGTCCATGTGGACACTCCTTCTCTATCTGCAATAAAATACAGTGAAACTATCATTGCCTTTTACTGTTGGTAGTCAGAGCCAAACTGGATTTATGATTTCTGGATTTCTGATGAACTTTTCTGATTGTTGGATTGGAAGCTTATGAGTGAAAATTTTGAAACGTACGTTTTTATTTCCCTGGCCTTTTACTTCGTAGATACTGAATATGTAGTTTATCATTAAGTGTTTTAATATTTTTTTGGGACGGGGGCAGCATGTTACACACAATTGTTTGGCTTTAAATAGGTTCTAGGTATTTTTTTCGTATTTTTAAAGTCTCAAAACTCACGACCGTCACGTGTCCCTAGGGTAAATTTTGCAACTTTCATGCTGTTTTTAGAATAATTATTCATGCCGAAATATATAACGTCATATTTTTATTACATCAATAGTTATTAAACTTACGAAAAAGGAGCATATGATAATTTTGTTTTCATTGTAATCTGACTACCATGACTAAATAGGTCTGTCACGACCCTTAGGGAAAAATTTGCAACTTTGGAACACGACAGTGGCAAGCCTGGCGTCAATGGAGTCAGTTGGTTTTAGAGACTATTTCGGGGTGTACGTCAGGATTGTAGTGCCGGTCGTTTCGAGGTGAAAGGAGGAATTACCAGATTAATAAAGGCAAGATTGTGTTTTTGTTTTTGTAATTTTGGTGTGTTCATGACCGTACGTAGTCATTTGATGAAGTAGACATGGTGTTCATTTTTGTTTATAAGATATTTCAATTGCTAGATTAACCTAGAAGTCCACTTTGTATCCTCAAACATGAGGTGCAGGGCTACCGCCAGAACAGAGCCAAATAACACGTAATGTCACGACCAAAGTTTCACGACCATCGCGGGTTTTTTTCACGACCAATCCAGCCTTATGGATTATACTGTGTTTGGTCGTGATAATAACTTAAATATCATTGTAAATTGAACAGTTTAGTTCAATTGAAACACATATTTTTATTATAGCTAACAGTATAATTGAAGGATTGTTTGGAAAGATTTAGTTTATTCCAGACAATTCCCGACCGTACCGCTTGTCCCTGACCATCACGTTTATGATTTCTATCATATAAATTTCAAAAATTAAAATATCATCATATTTCAATGTTTTATACACAAAAGAAGCACACCTCTATAAAAACATAACGATTTTTCAGGTCTCAGGTAAGTTTTTTTCGGAGTTATACAAACTTAAAAAAGATTTTATTGGCTTTTAGCAAATTTTCCAAATAGGGAATAAGCTATTACCGTAGGTCTAATGGTAAGACCCGGGACTGATTTCCTTTTTCGTTTTGATATATATATATGTCCGTTAGCGCGATAACTCGAGATAAAATGATCCGATTTTGATGAAATTTGGTTCAAACCTGTAAACCTACGTTTATTCGAACGAGTTTGCGAACCAGCATAATTGGACCATGGAAACAGGGGTTTATGGGGGTTTTTTCTCATTTTTGACCCTAAAAACAAAAAAAATTTGCAATTTCTTTCCAAACCATTTTGTAGAGCTTAAAAAAATAAATAATTGAGTATATTGAAGCGCTGTTTTATGCCTAACAGTCACTGAGAAAATTTAAAAAAATCATAATATAAAATTCCCATGTTATTCTTATGGAGGAAATGAAAACTGTTGTAGTTTACTTGTTTATGGATATATGTTGATAAAGTTTGGCAAATTGATTTATTTCATCCTATACTATTGACGTATGGTCAAAAAACACTTTTTACCTTCCCCGTAGCAGCAAACCTACGCACTCGTTAATTCTAATGTTATTAAAATTGGGAATAAATATGTCTTATTTAAAAATGTGATCAGACAAGTTGAAATTCGCTTAGTCTGCAGGTTTGCTGCGGCGGGGGTGTTTTCAATTTTTTGAGTTTTTTTATTTTTTTCTAGAAAGACCGAATATACCAAAAGCTTAGTGAGCTGTTTATTGTATAATGGCCCTAAAAGTAAACTAATTTTTAGCAAAACATAGTTATACAAATAATATTAACTATTTTTAATTATCATTTTTATGTCCGTGATGGTTGTGACAAAATTTTGTGTTTTTCCATCAAAGATGCGCTATTAGCAAAAAAATCACCAAAGATATTGCATTACCATGGACATTTTATGAAACTTCAAATGTTAATGAAATAAAAAATTCAAAAAAAAGTTTCAAAAAACGGAACAAAAAATTCTTGAGTGCATTTCCTGAAAACGTACGTTTCAAAATTTTCACTCTTATACATAGAGCATAAATACAATCTTTTTAGGAAAAGGGGAATAGTGAACTTTTCTAGTAATTTTATTTACTCTACTTTGTGAAAACACGTTTGAGAGGTTATGTTCAACCAACAAACAGAATTAACTTTGGTTTATTTCTGTCAGGCTGACATTGCTGACAGACTCTGCCAGGAAAACCAAAGACCGTTAAAAGCCGTTGGTTATGAGCTAATTTCTTTACTATTTCTTAAGTCTTCTGCCAGATAAACTTACTTAGATTTAAAATAAATGCCTGCCAAAAACCGCCTTAGAACTATTAATTATATAATTTTTTTACTTAAAAAAAATAAAGATTAGAAAAATACTTCAAAATTTGTTTGTTACTTTAGAATAAATTTAACCTTGTCAACAAGTTTTGTAAACTTGGCGAGGGCAAGCCAATTTAATATTATGAATAAATATATTTTAATTTGGAGTTTTTATTTTTATTTTACATCAGGTCTTTTATTAATTTCAACGAATTTTTTGTCCTATTTGGTTCAGCAGTTGAGTTGATTCTAATTCCAAACTTGGAGTAATTTTTAGAGGTGTGCAATCCTAAATAGCTAACATGCTCACTTTAATTTTAAAATTTTTCATTCTTAGAATTCAAATATCAGGAAACCACTGTACCTTTAAAACATGCCTTAAGTGTTAAGTAAATAGTACGAAATTGATTGTTTACAATTAAAAAAAAACCTTTTTTACTGTTTAAGCCAATTTAAAGCATGTTTGATATATTTACAAGTAAAAAAACAGTGTTTGCTTGGTAATCATATTTGGTTTCAAGAGCATTTATTAAAATTTTATCATGACAATAATCTGTGAGATCGCGGCATTATCTTGTTTGTCTCCAGCAATTGTGGTGACATCGTGACTAATCTTAAAATTTCTCACGGTCATAGAGGATACTATCATCGACTCCTGCGATACTGAATTATGATTATTTATTGCAATGCAGAGATTTAGTGCATTTTTGATCTGTAATTTTCACACAAACTTTCTACAATCGTGATAGTACCACAAGAATAAAAGCTCAGCTCTTTTTTCTGACTTAATGATTGATCTTCTAAGGCTAGACTCACAAATTGAGCCCATTTCACACCCCTAGTATGAACGTATGTAAGTAGTAGCAAGTTGTAGTTTGCACAACTTATTTGCACTTTTTATAATGTAGATTTACCGAGATAAAGAAAATACATTATATAAGATATTAAAATACCCCCGCCGCAGCAAACCTGCCGACTAAGCGAATTTCCATGTGTCTGAATTGATTTTCAATTAAAAAACATTAATACATTAATAACATTAGGTTTAACGAGTACCTAAGTTTGCTGCTACAAGGAAACTAATAAAGTGTGTTTTTTAGAAAAATATTGATAGCTTAGTACAAAATAAATACATTTGCCAAGTTTGATCAAATTGTATCCATAAACAAGCAAACTACAACATTTGACAATATTCTCCATATGAATAACATGGAAATTTTAAATTTACAATTTTTTTAATTTTCTACGTTACTAATAACCGAACAAAAATACTTTTGATGTGTCTTTTCTAACATACTGTATGTTTAGTAAAATACCATATGTTATGTTTAATAAGTTAACTTTGTTTTTGTTTACAATCATTGTTATTTAGGATTCATTTCAGAATACACCTATTTTATTTTACACATCTTTTATTTAATATGTAACAGTTTGGCGACGAGGAAAACCAGTTTTTAATGTTTTTTACATTCTATTTATTACAATTTATTTTTTAATATGAGTGACCTAAGTAACACTGAAAGTTTGACTGATTTAAAGAAGATTAGAGTAGTAGTGAAGGGTCAGTTGTCTAAGGCTGAAAGATGGCTAGCAAACCTACAAAACATGTCAAAAGAAGTAATGAAAACCAGGATAACAACAATTGAAGAGTATTGGGAAAGATTTAATTCTGTACAACAATTAATAGAAGAGAAAACTGAAGAAGTTGAAATTGAGAAAGAAATAGATTACAGAGTAGAAATGGAGGACAAATATTACAAGGTAATGGATGAGTTACATAAACGTATGGGACAGACAGCTTGCAGAACTACATGTGAACATTCAAAATACTGTGCCTAGTACATCAAATGTGTCTTCTCCACAACGTCGATCCACTACTTCCTCAATGATTTTCACACCATATCAGGAAAATGAATCATTCAAGAACTTCATTCGTCGATTTGAGATATTTCTATATCTAACAAAAAACCACTAAGTGGTAACACTTTCCCCGCCAAGTCAGCAATCCAAAAAAGATAATAAATCATTACTTTTCCGCCAAGAAAAATAATGTAATGTATGTAAGTTTGGCAACTTGGTGGCAGACTTTTGCTTGGTTTTATTTTTCATTAAAGTTACGTTCGTGGATAATTTCACAAATCAACTTCTCTAATTAATTAGTCCAACTAAGTGTAATAATTTTGAGGTAATCAGTAAATATAAAACCATCACTATTATGATTTTATGAAATGCGGCACAAATAAGGTCAAATTTTGTAAAATAAGCTCTCACCTAGCAATGTACTAATGGGAGAGATACTTGCTCAATGAAACTAGTTTTATGGTATTTTTTAAAGTGATCGAGCAAAAGTCTGCCGCCAAGCTCCCAAACTTACATACATTGCATTGTTTTTCTTGGCGGAAAGGTAATGATTTATTATCTTTTTTGGATTGCTGACTTGGCGGGGAAAGTGTTACCACTTAGTGGTTTT